TGGAATCAATAGTGCAGATTAGAAATAAATCCTAGCGGTCGGTGTTTAGAACATTCCTCCTCCGCCCATTCCACCCATTCCTCCCATACCGCCCATGCCTGGCACTGGGTCCTCTTTAGGTAATTCATTAACAACACATTCCGTCGTAGCAAGTAACGAAGCTACACCTGCGGCATCTTGCAACGCCGTTCGCACAACCTGAACGACATGAGGTGACTCTGGATGTTCACGTACACTGGATATTTGGAAAAGGACTTTTGACTTCTGGGAAATGGAACTCACGGAAGCTACAACAGCACTAGCTGATAGGAAAGTCGGACTTTGGAAGAGATCGTCACTTCAGAGACTACTGCACACAGCAGAACTTCATTACACATACCTTTGTGGGATCGATGATACCAGCGTCAAACATGTCGACAAACTTGTCATTCTGAAGTCGTCGTCATTGTTGTCGTTGAGTGCGTCGTATCCGTAACCAGTATTGTCATTCAGTAGGATCTGAGATAAAATGTTTACGAACGAATCAACGATGACACATTACTACAAACCTTCTCAACTGTGGAAGCTGGTTCCAATCCGGCATTCCTGACAATAGTGCTGATTGGTTGACGAACTGCTTTTTTGATGATGTTTACACCCATTTGCTGGTTTTCGCAGCCTACAATACGGATTTGCACAAATTTTAACTATTTAAGAGAAGGAAGGAAGGAAGGAAGAGAAGAAAAAAGAGAAAACAAAACGACTGAGGACCAGGCAGGACGGCGCCAGAGCTGCGCGTGAGATGGAAGGCATGGTACGTGATCACGTCCTCCACAATTTATTTTCCGCCCGGTGCGAAAGTTGCTGGAGTCCAAACGGCATTAGCCGTCGGATGGTGAAAGGTCTGAAGAATATGGCGGGTGAGGTAGAACTTCAACCCCCAATTCGTTCAATTTATGGATAGTGATTTGTGAAACGTGGGGCGGGCGTTGTCATGCAAAAGAATCGGACCCTTTCTGTTGACAAGTGCTGGCTGCAGCTGACGCAATTTTCGGTACATTTCGTCGATTTCTTCACAGTAGGACTCTGCTGTGATGGTTTGGCCTGGTGACAAAAAGTTATAGTGGATCACACCAGCCGATGACCACCACACTGTGACCATAATCTTTTTTTCGTGAGGATTCGGCTTTGGAAATTGCCTCGGTGGTTCGTCGGCATCCAACCACTGTCCGGAACGTCTCCTGTTATCATACATGATCCACTTTTCATCACAGGTGACAATTCGGTCCAAAAACGGGTCGTTTCTGTTGCGCAAAAGCAGTGAAGAAGAAACCTCGAGACGTGCCAATTTCTGCCGGTCACTCAAATTGTGGGGCACCCACTTGTCGAGTTTTTTCACCTTTCCCAATGCGTTTCAGACCATCCGCAACAGTGGATTTGCCAACGCCTAGCTTTTCTGCAATCTCTCGAACTGTTTGGGATGGGTCAGCCTCAAACGCCTTCAAATCCTCGTCAGGTATTGCTTTAGGTCGACTGCTACGAGG